AGTTTATGGTTTTAAAAAACATATAAACATTTGGTGGTGCTGGGCCACAGCAAGTGCCTCTCAATGGTCTATGAAACTCTTAGAGAAAATAAATTTAGTATGCACAGAAACAAAACCAACTGTGAAAAGTACCTCATTCTTCAGATATACTCTCTAAATGAATATACTCTGAAGTTTGCAAAAAACATCTTAGAGGAAATAAACTTACGTATACGAATAAACTCTTCCAGTAAAATTTTTTTCATTTACTAATTTTAGGATTTAACAACATTAAGGGTAGTATATTTCACTTAACATAATGGAGGTACAGATTTTTTTACAATAAGAATTAAGGGAATTAACAGATTTTTCTGACCACTGCTTGATTAACTTCTTTCACTCTTCCTTGTCATTTGCAAGATCAAGATTCTCAGCTTGAACTAACCCTGACTTCTATGATTAACTGAGATTAAGCCAAGTATTACAGACCCCAAAGTAAATGGCAAAAGTTTTTTGAAAGACCTAATAATTCCTTTGTGATCTGTTATTTACAATCTATAAATATCCAAACACATATTTATTCAGTAGATAACCTTACTCCATAGAGAAAAGAGTCCATTAGGTATGAACTCCTTCAACTGACTCATCTAACACAATACACACTGAATGGTACCAACACTCACCTTTATCTCTCCCATTACAGAAAAACTACTACTCCCTTAATTTAAAGCTTTCCTTTGAAGTTCCATTCTCACTCTACCTCCAGAGACCTTACTCCATTAATTACTGTTCTGGCCTATTCTTATCTTCACACCTTTCTCACCCTCTGTACATCATTAGTTCCTTACCCTCTGTAACATAAATGCAAAACTAAGCTCTTGGTTTCATTTTTCTCCTTTAGGTAGGGCTTCTTTACTATTCACAGCAAGGGTTTTGACAGACATGTGCACTTATTCTCTTATTTACTTTTTATTCTACTGTAACCTTTTTTGAAAAACTTTTAATTTGAAGATAATTTCATAAAGTTCAGAGAAGTTGAAAGATATATACCTACCTGCATACCCTTTACTCAGATTCATCTATTATTAACACTTTACCCCACTTTTTTTCTGAACCATTTGAGAGTAAGTTACAAACATCATGACCCTTTACTTCTAAACACTTCAGTTCTACCTCAATCTTGCTTCTATTCTAATGTTCCCTCTATTCTAATGTTTCTCTAATACTGCTTTTACTAGGTCACTAATGACTTACTAACTGCTAAACCAAACTTGGACTTTTTAATCCTTATTCTGCTTAATCTGTGATCACTTTTCTTTTTGAAGCTCTCCATTTCCCAGTTTCCGTGTGCTAACTCCCTCTCCTGTATTTTCTCATACTTTCCAGCTACTCCTCATTCTTTTCCAAAGTTGCTCCTTCTCTCTACTCTTAGCTCATCTCTTTTAGTCAGCAAACCCCATGTTTCTTCCTTTGTCTATTTTTTTTTCCCCTGAAATCTCCCATTTTCCTGCATGATGTTGTCCATGTCTACCGCATTCAATTCCCATATATGTTGATGGCTACCAATACATAATCTTTCCTGCATTCCAGACATTTGTTCCTAACTAATCTACTTACCTAGATGACAAACCAAACAAATCCAAAAATAAATTTGCCATCCTCTCTCACCCACAAAATTTGTCCCTTCTTCCTATATTCCTCCATTTGGTAAATGGTGAATCCACTTATGTAATACCCAAATACGGCCACCCCCAGCTTTCTCCTTTTCCCTCACTGTGCAATCTGTCACAGAAAGTGACTCCACTGTCCACACATTCTTATAATCTCTCAAATCTTCTTTCTTGACATTGATACTGCCTTAGTTTATACCCTCATCTTTTCTCTCCTAGGCTATTATTCATCTAAATAATTTTTCTCCCACTGCTCCAAATTCACCCCCTACACTGCCACCAAAGAGTCCTTTCTAAATGCAAACTGGAGTACGCTACTCTCCTTGTCCTTAGATGCCTTTCCATTTACTTTTTAGGATTTAAAAATAGCATAAAAGTTTCATCATGATTTGGCTTCTCTCTATCCTCTGACCATCATCTCACAATTTCCAGGTATGCATTCCAGCCTTGTATATAACAAACTAGCTGTATCCTTCCAATATGTGATAGTTTCTCCTGACCATGTGCTTTTGAACATGTCATTTCTTCTGTTTTGAATGTAATTTAAGGCATTTGACATTCTCCCCATTAGTGACCCATTTTTAAAAGAGGAGCTAAAATAATCTAAGTGGCATTGTGGAATTTCAACAATGTTCCCAAATAATAGCTTTAGGCAGTGTAGGTATGTTTGTTTGCAGCAGAATCCATAAATATAATAGGCTATATAATATCTCTATCAATGAAAAACTATCAGTGAGATAATTACAATGGCATTGTTATAGATTTTAATTTCTCTACCATCACATAAACTTGTACAGACTAATATTGAAAGCTGACTTAAATGTCAAACAAAATATGAAAATAAAAAATTCTCTAAGGTTTCTTAACTTTGTAAAAGTCTTTTACCTATGGATAGAAAGTCATTCTTCAGGTCAATAATGTAAGTGTACCCCCATTTTATAATTAAGAAGTAGGAGAAATCCAAGAAAATCATACCAAGCCACAAAAAATTAAACTGTGCCTTACTGAAAAAAAGGAAAAAATCCACGCAGGGCCAGTTTTTAGCTTGGAAAAAAAATTCCTATACCCACTTTAACATGTTCTCAAAGACTAGGGGAGGGAAATACACATACAGATACCATAAGGCATGAACATTAATAAAGTTTCCCTAAGCAAACACTGGCTTAAAGAACTATGGTAGGCTTTGAAGTTTATTAAACAAGAAATAATTTTAATGTAATGCAATTTATGTAGTTAAATAAAACGTGGGGTACATAAAACCATAACAAGATACCACTTCACACCCATTAGGATGGCAATTCTCCAAAAAAAAACCCCAGAAAATAACAAGTATTGGTGAGGATATGAAGAACTTGGAACCTCTGCACTGCTGGTGGGAATGTAAAATAGTGCAGCTGCTGTGGAAAACAGAGTGGTGGTTCCTCAAAAAACTAAACAGAGAATTGCCACAGGATCCAGCAATTGTGCTTCTGGGTATATACTCAAAAGAACTGAAAGCAGGGATTTCAGATATTTGTACACTAATTTACACAGGGGCATTATATACAATAGCCAAAAGGTAGAATCAACCCAAATGTCCATCAACAGATGAATGGATAAACAAAATGTGTTACATCATATAATGCAATATTATTCAGCCTTAAAAGGAATGAAACTCTGATACATGGATGAACTCTGAAGACGTTGTGCTAAGTGAAATAAGCCAGTCACAAAAAGACAAACCCTGCATGACTCCACTTATATGAGGTACCCAGAGTAGTCAAATTCAAAGAGACAGAAAGTAGAATGGAGGTTGCAGGGGCCAGGGGAGGGGGGAATGGGGAGTTGTTTAATGGGTACAGTTTCAATTTGAGAAGATGAAAGAATTATGGAGATAGATGGTAGTGATGGTGGCAAAACAATGCACATGTACTTAATATCAGACAATGGTAACTTAAAAATGGTTAGAATGACAAATTCTGTGGTGTATATTTTACCACAATAAAAAAAATTAGTTTTAATTGGCTACATACATACTATTTCATATTAAGTGGGGAAACCCAGAACAAATCTATTATAGCAATGCACTCCTAACCATCGAAATTTCTATGACCTTGTGTTTTTATTAATATCAGGAAGCAAGCATCATTTTATAAAGAGCACTGAACTTGCAGTTATTGTTCAGTTTTTACTGACTTCTGGCCAGCCTTTTACTGTTTCCTGTAATACTTGGTTACCAGACTTTTATCAGATTTTTTAAACAGGCGAGACATTTTATATGGGAAAGGAAGGTTATTTCCTTAATATAAGTGTTTCCTTCTGATATTATACCATTTGATGAAAACAAAATAATTAAACATTTAATCATATTCAATATCTGCAACCTGAAAAATAATCTCCACAAAAGCCTTAAGGATGATAAAGACTAAAAACAAACTTTAAAATGTGTTCTTCATGGCTATTTTTTATCGTGAAAAACTATAGCCTTTCTAATCCTCTGAATTCTAAAATTTGAAGACAATGACTTTGATTCCAACCTCAGTAATCCCCTTGCTCATCATTTTCCTTGATCCCTGTTCCCCAAATCCTTCAGGTATAACCTCTCAGTAACAATGCCGAATTCTGTAGACAAACATCTGATTTTCTTTGCTTCTGGGCCTCTATGTGTTGCTAACAAATCACCTATAATAATGTCACACCATTACATATTTACTGTTTCCAAAGTGAACTTTTCTAGCAGGCTGTTTATCAATTTTTCTATCTGTCCTTAACGCCTGTGGTAGACATTAGGACCGTTCATACATATTGCAGTGCACAAGCAAATTACCCTTTTCCACCCTCTTTGAAATTAGGCCTGGCTGTTAAGACTTGCCTTGGCCAGTCAGATGTGAGTGGAAGCACATTTATCACTTCTGGGTTGAAAGTTTTAAGAGCTTACATGTGATTCACTATGTTGTGTCCCCTTCAATCTCCTCTCCCCCCAGTACTGCAATGATCAAAGAAGTACTGGTAGAGATGGAGTTCCATTAGCCTCAGGCCCTGAGTGATTACTAGGAAGAGACTTCATGCTGACATTCACAGGACACGTGCTGTGAGCAAGAAACAATCTTGTACTAAGACATGGAGATTTTCAAGTTGTTACCACTGCACAGTGCAGAACCTAGCCTAGCCTGACTGACACACTTCCCCTTTTTCCTATTCCCTGAAGTAGCTATTCCCATCTTTTAAGACTTCAAGCATAAACTCTCCCAGCTTCCATCCTCATTACTCATAAACTTATCAGTGACAGGACTGTCCTTAGCTTCTTTACTCGTAATACCATGATTTATTCTTTACTGCTACTATGATAATATATTTAAATAAAATTTTTACCTTCCAAGTAGTTTTTGCTCTGTTGGGAGGTACAGTTCATACGATCTATGTTTAGATTGCTTGTCTTAATCTGGTTGCTAGAGAAGAGAATAAAACACACACCAAACACATCAGCTATAATGGATTATTATTTAGTTTATCCCAAGAAAAAGAAAGAAAATAACATTTGCTAAACAATTATTATATACCATGTGCTGTTCTAGGGGATTAATGTACATTATTAATCTACATCTCACAACTTAAAATACTTAAAAGGAGTTATTATCCTCATTTTTCAATAGGAGATTAAGGCTGTGAAAGTCAAATTAATTTGCCCAATAATTAAAATCCAAGGCTATCTGATTACAAAGTTCTGATCTTTCTAATACCCTAGGCTACCCCTTTCAAAGAAGTATTATGAAATTACCCTGCAAAGTAAAAAAGCTTCCCAAGTCTTTATTACAGTGATTATTTCGGTAAAACATGAGCGGTCGCTTTTTCTGGCTTTTCAATAATGAATGTAATAAAACACCAGCTAACATCAAATTAAGATGCTTTAGATCGATTAAGAGCAGAAATAGTGGCTAAATTGACCTAAGTGGCGGACATGTTTTAGAGGTTACACAAAGAACTGCAAATAGACTGCTAACTGTAATATAAGAAATGATTTCAGAATTAATTAAGAATTAATTGAATACAAACTTAGTTATTTGGCTGTATTCTTTAATACTTGCTAAAGGAAAAATATCTCTTTCATGGAACTGGGTTGTGACAGAAGAAAATAACCCCAGTTCTGAGTTACAAATGTTAGAAATGGGATAATGAACATTAACTAGGTTGAAGAATTAAACACTTAGCTTAATGACTGAGATACACCAATTTAAATCTATGGTTTAAAACCTGTAGTATATATACATCAGTAGTTTTTAGTGGCAACAATGATAATGTATTTTACTTTCTAAACTTCCCCAAAATAAACAGTTGTTATTTTTGGAATCAAGAAATAACTATTAAAAATAGAAACTTGATATATCAAATAACCTGCAATATCCCAGGATACTCTGAGCTCAAGCTCTTTCCTTTTCATTTAACTGACCCCAACCTTTGAAAGTTACTTCAAATAACTAAAAAGAAAGAATGGTGGGGGGAAATTATTCACATAACTTGTGTATTACCTGAAGGGTGCAGTTTCTTTAACACCACTGATATCCATCACTGTACCATTTCCATCGATAACAGGTGACTCCAAATTAGCAGAGCCATTACTGATATGATCACTGCTTTCATATCCAGACTCTGTCCTTTGCATCTGCCAATTGTCACCATGAACTTTAGTTTCTTTGAGGGCTTTATTTTTTTCTGCTCCTTTTCCATTAAATTCAAGGGAACTCCTGCTTCCTGTTTCCTGCTTCATTTCATCTTCATATATAGTCATTAAACATTTTTGCTTTGGATTCTCTTTTGGACAACTGTTAAAACTCTGATCTTTGCTACATTTAGATTTGTTACCAATATTTGATTTATGTCTTGGACTATGCTGCCTTTTTTCACTTTCATTAAAAATACTATCGACATTTAATGTTTCTCTCATAGGTTTCCAACCTCGATTTCGGCTTTTAGTGCTGCCATTACAACTGCTTCCTTTATCCCTAGAATCTTGGCTACTGTCTGTATCATATCCAGTACCACTGTCACTCTTAAATTTGCCAGTTATTTTCTCTCCTGAAGCAAGAATCTGGGATTTACTTGAACTTAATGTTTGTGCAGAAGCTCGACTCTGATGGGCAATTCGGTCATGCTTACACGGTCCTTTTCCTTGACTATGATATAGATGTGGATTCCCATTTTGTCTAAAGCCATTTGGGGCAGGAGGTGATCCAGACTTGAAATGTGGAAGGTCTTCATTAACCAAATCTTTAAAAGTAAATAAAAATACAAATGAGCTACTCTTCAGAGCCACTTTTTAGTCACAAGCCAAATACCTTGTTTGAGAAGAAATGTTAAACAGTAATAAGTAAATCATAACATAAATGGTTATATAATTATTTTAAAAAATGATCTCTAAAGTAGATCATAAGATAATTACAGCAATTTTAAAAAACTATTCTATCTCATTCATAATTAATAAAAACCATAAAAATAAAAATATTTCCCACCTATTATATTGGTAAAGATTTAAAATTTATTAAACCAATTGCTGCTGGAAACAGACATCTAATCACTGTTGGTGGGAGTGCAGACTGTCAAGTATTTTAGGAGGACAACTGAGCCACACCTACCAAAGTTGAAAATAAATAAACATACCCTAAACCCAGCAATTTTTCTGAAAGAATTTTATGCTAATGGCTGTATGCAAAAAGTACCTGTGAAAGGATTTCACTGCAGCAAGAATCTTAAATCAAGTTCTAAAGTCTAGCAATATCGGTTAAATTATACTATGTTCATAAAGAAAAGAGCATAAAACCATAAAAAGACGTGCTCATAATGAACTGGAAACTATTAACAGTGGAACAGAGTGAAGGTCAAGGGTTGCAGGAAAAGAAGTTCTTTTCACTTAATTTTATAACCTTCCTTATTATTTGAATGTACCATACGGGTGAATTGAATTTATAGTTAAAAGTAAAGTTGAAACATAAAAAACACAAGTATTCCAGGCTAGAATTGAGTAAGAACTAGGAAAACTTTACATTTATAGGTTTAATAGGTATATTAAAGAAATCATACTAAGATACATAATATCTAAATAAATATATATAATATATAAAGAAATTATATTAAATTGTATTAAATTATAAAACTTAGCTTTAAAATAAGATTTTAGCTGCCCCTTTTCCAATGAATGCTGTAAGTTCTTAAGTTACCTCTATGTCTGCCCAAATCTTTTCTTTGTCCCCTTTCCAAATCTTTCCTTTGTGAGGAAAGTAAGTTTTTCTGTTCAATGGCTTTTAGAGCACATTCTCTGGAAATGTCTTTTATTTTTTCCCTTTGATCATTGTGACTTGACTTAACTGTAAAAGAAACCATTCTTTAATAATGATACAGATCATTTTTCAAATTGCTCAATAAAAGTACAAATTGAACTATATTAAAATTTAAGATGCTATATATTAACAAAATACAGATTAAACTATACAATGAAATCATTTTTATGCTTAACTAAAAACTCAGTGTGATTTATGCTGTCACTAGAGATGCAAGCTGTGTTTTAAAACTTCATGTATAGCTCTACAGCGAATGTAAAGGAAAACAAGAAATAATGAGAGCTAAAGGTAACTGAGAAATAATGAGAAATAATGAGAGCTAAAGGTAACTGAGTGGTTAGTATGTGTCAGGCGCTATTCTAAGTGTCTAAACTCATTTATCAATACTTCTCTGAGGTGGGTACAATTACTATCTTCATTTTGGATTCGGAAACAGAGGCATAGAGAAGTTAAGAACTCGCCCAAGTTCACATAGCTTGGACGTGTAGAAACAGGATTATTAACACAAATTGCCTGGCTCCAATGTTTGTGTTCTTAAACACATACAGTTTCTAGTAAAAGTAGGTATCTTTGAAAAATAGAAAATGGCTTAATATAAGAGTATCAATAATACATAAAATGGAAAAAGTTCCATTAAGAACTTTTAAAAGCATTTATCGTAAATGGTAATTGTTAATTCTGAATCTTATCACCCTTGATTAAATGGGTTACTTTTAGGGTTAGACATTATTTCATTAATATATTTAAAAGTTCCTTACAAAATCATCCTCAACATCCACCCACTTAGAGTTTTGCATATTTCTAAACCATAACTGTACATCATGCTGTGATTGTTTCATGTTGAACCCTAATCACAGATCTTGGATTGGGAAAATTAAAGTTGTGGAATGATAATAACAAGAGACAGTTGAATAAAAATGAGGTTAAAAATAAACTACAACTATAGTAACTTCAAACTATTGTTGCATTCACTAATACTACATTTAATTTTGGCATAAGAGCCAAATTATTAACTAAATGTTTTTCCTCTACAAGTTAACAATTAACTCCTTGAAGGAAAGGCCATATCATAGCTTTCTCTGGTGACAGTCCAGGTTGCCTCCACCCTATTACATACAGCCTTGAGTGAATGGAGAAACTCAAACACTAGTCACGTCAAACTGTTCAAATAAAACTATAGGTCTCGGAGAAATGCTTAAGTCAAAATACAAAATTTTGTTTCTACTTTTTATTTTCTCTTCATGGCCAAGGAAAGCTAGTTAAGGACTCTCCTCTTGGTCCTTACCAAGAATTACAGATTCAGTAAGTGAAGAAAGAGGGAAGCTTAACTATGAAGAGGGGGGAAGCTTAACTATTCAAGGACAATGTAAAAATGACAATTTAAATACATACCTGTTCCTCTACTGCCACTTGTTTGAATGTGGCTCCGATTAAATGATGAAATACTATCTGCTTGAAATTTTTGATTTTCTCTCTGTTTTGTCTGATCACCAAATCCATTTTCTTTTGAATTCTCCGACTTATGAATTGAGGACTTTTCACATCCTTAAAAAGACCAACAACACTGTATAATCCCCTTCCTCCTCTCCACCAGCAGAAGAGATATTTGAATCATCTTTTCAGACATTTTTAATGATATAGAGAAAATTACTTAAAAACTTAGAGGACTGACATCTTTTAAGACTTCTACATGCTTTGTAGGGCATTCAAAAATGGCCTCGCTGCTTTGGACTTTTCCAGTGTACTAACTCACTTTAAATCTCAATATTTACTGCTAGTAAGAGCTACCAGCCAAGTATCCCCTCCTGTGTTTGTGTGACCATAGTCGTGGGTGGCTGCTGAAGGTGCTTCTGAGGCCACAGAGGAGGAAAGGTTTCTTTATAAAGACTAATTCTAAGTATTAGAATTTTCCTGAACTCCACTTTACTGAAACTAAATTTTGAAATTATCCTCAACATTCATTTCATATTCAGTATATTAGTATTCCTAGTGTGATTGTGATAACAGAAAAACACTAAAAAGAACTTTTAAACAATTACCTATATTTTCTGCAACGGATTTATGAGGTGACCAGTTGATGACCTGCCTGAGTGCATCTTCAGTGGAAACTGCTGTGCCATCTGGGTTTGCGTAAAACAAAAGCAGTGGTTGGAAGTGGCATCGGATACACTTGGAGACCACATCTTTCCATCTAGTTCCAACCTTAAAAAATTACAAATGAATAGAAACAAAACAAAACCTTGTAATCAATGTGTTACATGAAAAGGCAGAGACTGAATTACTTTGTATATTAAAAAATTTTAAAGACACTCAGACACTAGCAGTTCAACTGTTCATCACACTATATGATTAATTTTATTTAGTAACTAGTCTAGATAAAAATCATATAAACATTATCATTAAAAAACTGATGGGCAAGATTGTACACTTTCTATATCAAGATCTAGATTATCAAAATTTTAAAGGCTTTGTTCATACATGTTGACTGACTTTTGACAAAGACTTCAAGCAATTTAATGGGGAAATATAAGAGTCTATTCAACAAATGGTGCTGGAACAACTGGATGGCCGTATGATGACTGGATGGCAGCCGCTGCTGCTTCTACTTTCAATGGATTCCAGAGACTGACCATCTACTATGTGACGTCAGGGCCAACATCGCAGCAGCAAATCCAGAACCACGACTTCCCACTCGGAGTAGAGGAGCAGGATGTTGGCACTCTGCCTGTGTCCTGTGCTTGGGAGAGTGGAATGAAACAGCACCCAGAAGCCTGTGCTTCAGCTCATATTAATGTGTAGATACCATTCTTGTAGCTGTTAACTGCGAGTTTAGCTTGATTTAAGGGTTTGGGGGGGACCATTTAACTTAATTTCTGCCAGTTTTGAGATGTCTATGTAAATAGGGTTGGCACAGATGCAACAATGTGTAAGACTAGGTGATGGGGTCACACTTATCCGTGTTCCTATGGAAACTATTTGAACATTTGTTTTACATGGATTTTTATTCACTTTTCAAACATGCTACTAAAGTGTGCCCCTCAACTGCTGAGCAAGCATTTGTAGCTTGTGCATTGGCAGAATGGGCCAGAAGCTTAGTGTTGTGACCTGTTTTAAAATAAATAAATAAAGTATCTTGAAATTAAAAAAAAAAAGATATTATGCCTAGCAAAGGAAGCCAAACACAGAGAATGTCTATTGTAAGAGACCATTCACATAAACTGTAGAATGAGATCAATGATTTCCTGGGACCCAGGGTTGGGGACAGTAAAGGGACATGACAGGATTTTCTGGAGTGATGAAAATGTTCTATACAATGATTGTGGAGGTTAAACAGGCATGTATACAGTTGTCAAAATCCAAACTATACACTTAGAATAGGTACATTTTAATGTTTGTAAATTATACCTCTATAAAGTTCATTTAAAAACAAAACAAAACCAATGAAACAAAGCATTCTAGAATATTCGCTTTTTATTAGAGAAGGGGTCTTTAAAAAAATTTGAGGAGTTTGTTCAAATTACACATTTTTACTTTTTTTTTTTCCGGTACGCGGGCCTCTCACCGCTGCGGCCCCTCCCGCTGCGGAGCACAGGCTCCGGACGCGCAGGCCCAGCGGCCATGGCCCACGGGCCCAGCCGCTCCGCGGCACATGGGATCCTCCCGGACCGGGGCATGAACCCGCGTCCCCTGCATCGGCAGGCGGACTCCCAACCACTGCGCCACCAGGGAAGCCCCAAATTACACATTTTTAGCTGTTTACCCCCTTTACCTGGGATTCTGAGATACTTGAAGAACGAGAGTAGTTTGAAAACAAAAGAAACCTGAAACTCAGAGAGTGACTACCCAGTTCTTCCTTCAAATTTTGACAATTTAAACTATGAGGATGCAAAATAGGAGTGCCAAAATGTTGCTGCATACTGACTCAAGATGGAACTTCTTAATAAACTGCCATATCAAAGTACTAAGTAATTCAAGCAAAGTGTGGACTTTAGAATATGAATTTCCAAATTTTTTCACTGGCTTTATTGAATATAACTTAATAAAATAAAACCATCCAATTACACTGTACAAGTCAGTGAGTTCTGCTAAATGTCTACAATCATGTAATCCTCACTTCCAAAACTTTCCCTGTACCCCTTTGCAATGCCTGGCAACCAATGGTCTACTCTGTCACTTTGTTTTTTCCTTTTCTAGAATTTCACATAAGCGGAATCATATTATTTAGCTGTTTGTGTCTCACTTCTTTCATTTAGCGCAATGCTTTTGAGATTTTTCTACATTGTTGCATGTATCACTAGTTCATTCCTTTTTATTGCTGATTATTATATTCCATTGTATGGTTGTACAACTTCTTTATATTCACCTGATGATAGACATTTGAGTTGTTTCCAGTTTTGGTTACTATGAGTAAAACTGCTATGAATATTGAAGTACAAATTATGTATGGATACATGCTTTCACAGGAGTGGAATTGCTAGGTTGTATGATAAACATGTTTAAATTTACAAGAAACTGATAAACTGTTTTCTAAAGTGATTGTTCAGTTCTGCGTTTCCATCAGCCTCACAAGAGTCCTTGTCAGCTCTTGGTATGGTCAGTCTTTTTAATTTTAGGCATTCTAATAGGTGAGTAATGCAATCTCATTGTGAATCAAATTTGTACTTCCTTTGTGCCTAATGATGTACTGAATATCATTTCAAGGGCCATTCATGTATCTTCTTTGGTGAACTGTCCAAATCTTTTGCCCACTTTTTAATTGATTTGTCTTTTTATTATTGAGTTTAAGAGTTCTTGGGCTTCCCTGGTGGTGCAGTGGTTGGGAATCCACCTGCCAACGCAGAGGACACGGGTTCGAGCCCAGGTCTGGGAAGATCCCACATGCCGTGGAGCAACTAAGCCCATGCGCCACAAATACTGAGCCTGCGCTTTAGAGCCTGTGAGCCACAACTACTGAGCCCACGTGCCACAACTAATGAATCCCGTGTGCCTAGAGCCCGTGCTCTGCAACAAGACAAGCCACCGCAATGAGAAACCTGCACACCGCAACGAGGAGTGGCCCGTACTCGCCGCAACTAGAGAAAGCCCGCACACAGTAACGAAGACCCAACACAGCCAAAAATAACTAAATTAAATACATAAATTTAAAAAAAGAGTTCTTTATATATTCTGAATATAGCCTTTATTAGATATATGCTTGACAAATATTTTATCCCAGTCTATGGTTTGTCTTTTTATTCTCCTAACTGTACCTTACTGAAGAGCAAAAGTTTTGACAAAGTCCAATTTATCAGCTAGTTTTATGGTCCATGTTTACTGACTGTTATCTAATAAATCTCTCTATAGCCAAACAGCAGTTTTAACCTTCTTATTTGATATGTCTACTTCTGCATTTTTGGTCTTTTTTTTTCCTAAGGCAATTTAATATCAGATCTGGCCTGGAACTGACCTCCGAGATCAGTTATTAGTATGAACCCTCGTTTTTGAGGTGCTGATGAAGTTTCTGAGAGAAAAGAAGGTGTGCTCCATTTCCCTTCTTTGCCTGCTCACCCCATTTCATGTCATTTGAAGAAATGAAATGGCAGAGAAGGTCTGTTGTTACTGATATTCCTTCAGGGCATGGGTCATGTCTTCCTACTTCTTTGTATATTCGGTAATTTTTTAGTGAATGCTACTTTGAAATGGCATATTGAAATTTCACTGAATTTTACATTTTTGGCTATTGAACTATTTTGTTTTCCTTTTAAATTGCTGACATGTAGTTATGTGTTATGTCATATGGTATCATCTTGGTCCTTTGAAGGCATCATTTTAAGCCTTTTATGTCAGGTCCAGAGCAATCTTCAGTCCAGGAATAATTTAGCCCCACCATTAAGGTGATATTTTTCTGAGGATTCAACTTGATGTCCTGTGTATCCACTCTTGCTAGTACGGATGCAAACTATTCTAGCCCCATGAGTTTAGGGAATTGTTTTCCAGTGGTCCCTTCTGCCACCTTGTGCTCATTTACCCTACACATGGTGGATCACTATTCAGCCAAAGATTAAAGGGGATCCCTCTGCCAATCTCCAGGACTTTCCCTCTGTGCAGCTTTCTTTCTGGTAATCTGTCCAGCAAATTTTAGCCATCTTGGCCTCCTTGAACTCTAATTTCAGTTTCCTCAACTCAGTGAGACTACTAGGCTTTGTTTGGGTTCTCCCTTGCTGCACTGCAATCCAGAAACTACCTCTAGGCAGGAGGCAGGGATCATTGTAGGGTTCATCTTGTTGGTTTCCCTTTTTTCTGTTCAACTGCCTGTCGTCCAGTGTCTAAAGTAGTTGCTTCATCTATTTGGTTTTCTAAATTTTAATACTGGAGGGCTTTAAATGATGCTATTATAATTAAATTCACTTATTTCTATTTTATATAAATACTTACATATAATAATTATTTTATATAATTATTTCATTATTATATCATTTATTCCTAAAAAGTAAAAATCACAATAAATATTCCAGTTAGTAAAGCGTCACTTACCTCTTTCACATTTGCATCATCAAAAAATACCCATTTGGAACTCTTGGTATGAAAAGCAAACGCACAATAATGTCGGCTAGTGTAGCAAATCATGCCAACAAGGTGAAGTTCACTATTTTTGGCATTTTCATCAGTAACCCTATAAAAAAGCTGTTTAAAAATAATGTATATTTAATACTGTATCTTTTTTAAAATGAGGAACAATTATTTGATGAGTCATGCATTTGATTCTCTATGAAAAACATTTCTCATGCATACTGCCCCAAACTGATATTAAATTAGTACTAAAGACACCACATTGCCCTGTTAACAGAATTACTACTTTCAATTAGTCCACAAGAAACATTAAGTCCAATAAAATGTATTTATTACAACTTAGTTTAGTAGCACAGTATCTCTAACACAGAATTGACACTTTACATACATAAACTCAAAATGTGAGGTAAATTACACATTTCCTGATAATTCATGATTGAATCACATATTTTAACATACATTAAACATACTACCTCAAGATAACTATTTAAAAGTTTAATTGTAATATAAACCAATTCAAAATATATTAAGATGGTAAAAAGCATATTAAGAGATAAGAGCTGTAGATGAATTTTAAATCTTAAATTTTTCTAGCTTAATATTTATATTTATAATCATTATCAAACACACACATACACACATGCATACAGTATCATATCATCATCACTCTATAGTGATACAGGGATAGAGCACATGATGGTTTAGTTTGTAACTGAAAGACATTCCTAGTCTAAGCAAGAAAGGCATTCCAGTTAGCCTGATTTGATTAACTTTATCAGAGTTACATCTGCAAATTATTTCCTTTAGAAAGAAAATTTAGTTCTGAAAAACAAAGTGCCTTATAATATATGAAGATGTTTTAGAGGAATTTAAAAATAAAAAGGAAGAGAATGAAAAGAGTTGATATACCCCGGGAAGATAAAGATGTGTCGCGAGATTCCGAACAACATCCTCGGTCAAGTCAGAATGCTCAGAGTCCCAGACTAAACCAATTGTAACAATCTCTGGGCAATTCATTAAAACACGCCGAATTTTTATTTTTTGGCCACAGTTACTCTAAAGAAAAACACAAAAGACAACTTTTGAAATTATCAAAACAGATATACCACAGGTAATGCCTTATACAGTTTGTATTATGCAACAACATTCTCAACATGTATCAGAAATTTATTTCTTCAGCATATTAAAATAGACTTCTAGAAAAGTATTTGTCTTAATTATTGATTAAACATAAAGTTTATTTTAAATCAAAGTACTTTTCTTTGGTATTTTCGTAAATCTGTTAAAACAGGAATTCAACCTAAAAAAATAGCAGATATAAAGCCCTTGAAGCCATTAATAATGTTACATGAGGGAAGAATAATACCATCTGTAATGTTTATTTAAAGAAAAACAAAAAAGAAATTCTCTTTAGTCAAATGATAGACTTCAGAACTTAATGAACATATGCTACCTTAAATCCTTCACAGTGTTACAAGTTTTTAAAGAAATGAGAGCTCATATGGTATAGAGTTACGTAAGAAAACACTGAAAAAATAAATTCTTCAAATTAATTCCAGATATAATTAATATTTGCATGGTAATTTCTGAATGTCTATTTTCAAATTTACAAATACAGAAGCACACTAGTGTTCTCCAAATTATACTTACAGGACATTTCCTATAGTCATCAGTTGTATTTGCTGCTTGCAGCAATTCTGCAAACATTTCAGGCTTAGAGCGTTCATGCCTTTCCATCATTCTTTCAACTTCATTGCTACAAAAGAAAGAAGCAGTCCCAAATCTGGCCTACGAACTTAAAAAATATCCAGTAAATTTGCATCAAAAATACTAAGTTATCAATATAGGTATGATCATTTTTTCTGTCTTAAAAAACAATTTTGTTTGAAAAATTAACCATGAAGTAAATTTCCATGAAATGAAAAATTATGATATTTGGCAGGTTATGATGAAAAAAGGTCAAGAACAGAATAAAATAACATGAAATCATACCATTGTTTGGAATTAGATGAATGAGGTAAGATGTTCCATCTGAAGGTAATTCTAAGTTAACAGTTTCTTTTACGTTATTACTTAACAAACAGGGACTTGAGTTTAACTTTTGCCTAACAAGAACAAGAAACTTTAGGAAAGGCTCCCTCTCTGGCCTAAAGTTCCCATAAACAAAGTTATTTTCAGCTAAGAGAAGGGCCCTTTGCTGATTAATGCAGAAGTCACAACCAAAGCTACTTAAATGAGGCTTGTGCCTTTTGTTCCTATTATGACTACTAACCATTTCATTAGAGTCTAGGCAGGGTATCAGTGCCATTTTGTATCCAACTTCTCCTAGAGTCAAATTTTTACATATCAAGGTATTAAGTATCTTTAAACAACTATTTAAACATTTCCAAAAAGATACATAATGTAAGCTCAATACGCCTACTAGTTTCCATTCGTGGTGCTCTGGTTTTACTTAATAGTAATTTTAACTATCCTAGAGCTGGATATATTTTACAGTTCAGTGGTAAGTAATATACAATATTCAATAACAACTAAAAGTACCAATTCTTCTAAAGCACTTCACAAGTACACTAGAAAGCACTAAATCTGACAGGCTCATTCAAAATGCACATAATGGTTTTTTACAAAATTGACAGCATCAGAGTAGTGGTTAACCAGATACATTTTGAATTTGAAATGAACCCAGACCTGGATTTCAATCTTAATTCATCCATTTACCAGGTTAATCATATTAAACCTATTTCTTGATCAACAAAAGTTTTTAAGATTAAAAGCAACAATTAATGTAAAGCCTGGAACATAGTAAGCATTGAACAACTGGTATTCAATACTTATCACCAATAAAAAGAGAGAGATTATAATTAGAATTCAAATTCTGGGCTTTAGCAATTCATGGCATGGACCAGAGAGAGACTGATGGAACTCTAATTCTTATTACCTGATACTGTCTCAGAGCACTGTCATTTTACACAAGAGTTTCAAAGTAGACTTAAAGTTTTACAGCTTTTAGTTTGTGGTCTATCCTGATTCAAACACCACCCTACTCTTCAAACAAAGTGAATGAAACTGACTACAAATGACTGAAGTTTAAAGAATGTTCCCCTAAATCGATGTTTCCCAACTCTGTATATATCCAAATTACCAACTTGCTATATTCAATGATCTTTAAGAAATAATGTGCTATATCCAAAATAAATCAAGGAAGTTTAATAATACAATGAAATGGATGAGCACCTAATATTCACTTTGTGCAATGATAAAAATATTGGTAGCATTTAGTAACTAACTGCTGTACTGATGCATTCTGATTAATAATTATTGACCCATGTTTTGTCTTTTGTACTAAAGTATCTGCAAACATTTATGATCTCATTCAGTGTTTATCATACATCAAATATTTACACTCTCAAATACCTGTTGCCGTGTTCAAACAACTCTTATTATGTAAAGTCTAGAGATCATTTTTGGATCCCTAAGCTGATGTTTCATGGCTAGGGAGGGAGGGGACAGACAAGCATGGCAAATTTTTATTTCAGGTGAATGTTATGGCCTTAAATGCAATAAACCTAACAGAGGATTATTTTCACTTTTTTCTTTCTTGTCTGCTTACCCTAGCTTCCATCACTATGCAGGGACATGGTGGAGCCGACAGGAGACATGGCCACTACAAAGGTAACACCTTAGCAAAAATGAAGAAATCATGTACAATTCCATTTACCCTTGAACTTGTCATTTTAAGCTCTCCTTCACGGTTTCAAAAACTTGCTATAAATATAAATAAATATACATTTTGACTAATATTCTGTACATTTCACTGAGTGACATCTATATTTGGTTAAGTCAGAAACAACTGAGATAGACATCACTTAGTACCCCTGATGGTAGCACATTTGTTAATCTCAGAGAGTAGATAGATATTCATATATGCTACAGTTTCATAAAATAAAGGCTCAAAGTGATCACATATATGACTAACATCTTTGGTAAATATGCTTTAGTAGGTTCTTACCATAGGGCCGTTGTAGAAATGTACCGCACAAATTCTGTAAAGGGTAGAGGATCTGATGATGCTCCACAGCTACGACACACACACTGCAGGTAAAAATATATGTCTAATTTATCAATCATAAAACATAAATATAGTCTCTAATAAAACAGTTAAGCCATCTCACCTGTTCATACAGAGTCATAGCAAACTTCTGGTGAGTGATACAAGATTTAGAGGTACACATGTCTGCATCTCTGCTTGGCACTATGTGAAAATGAATCCTCTCCAATATATTTTCCTAATTAAAAAATTAAAAGACAAATGAGTTGCAAATCTTGCATAGGACACTTCAAAATACAACTCTTTTTAACATTACAAATTGAAAAATCTAAGTATTTTCCAAAGTGTCAAACTCAGAAGTGCCATATACATTGTCAGCTTTTCAGCTTCCCTCTTTAACCGAGCCTTCAAATGTTGCTCAATTTTTCACCTTTTGCAGCATTCGATTTTAAAAAAAATTTAGCAAAACATTATAATGTAACATGATTTTAATAAAGATTTAAAAAATCAATTCATGGTGGCTGACATCTAGAATTTAATATTAGAAAACAAGATTTCCTATGTTCCCAGCATTCTCACATTGAGAAAAAGCAATTAATTAAAAAAAATCCTACTTGGATCACTTGGATAGTCTATATAACTTAAATCAAAACATCAATGATAAAGGCTTATAATACCTGCACTAACAACCCGAATGCAAGTAATCTGCTCTTCAACAAACTTCTTATGAAAGTGTGGATTTGTAATATAGATCAATAAGGGGTATTAATTTCTTTAACAAATTATCCTTTTTACCAAAACTTAACCAATGGATTATTTTAATTAGTTAACTTCCCCCTCCTCTGCCCCAGGACATTTATAACTATTCAATTATTTAAGCCTGGATTTCTAGATATCCCATGAATAATCATATCATGGATTAGTATACTTCACTTAAGTGAAAGTAAGACTATAAAGTTCAGTATTGTACAAAATATATCCATTTATATTTTAAGCAGTGGAGCAATTATAAACATGAGAAGTATGAAAAGCGTATTTCATGACTGTGTGTGTTGTTTTTGTCATATTTTAGTCAACATGGCAAGTGTGCTAAGCATTTGAGATGTTCATTTAAAAAAAAACACAAATGCCAAATGAATTCTATAAAGAGTAATAAATTCTTCAAAAATGTGGAGAATGGATTGGGATGCTTTGATGATGCATTATCTAGTAGATGTGACTTATGTTGAACTTTAACCAAAATAGATTAGGAAAGTTTTGAATATTTCAGGAACTTGAGCAAAGGCTATAAAAACAGGAATTTAAAAGACATGTTTGAGGAATGGACTGAAACTATCTCACCAGAAGGGAAAATTCAGGAAGGAAGCAAAGAGATAAACTGGAGTTTGAATTTAAAGAGCCTTAAATGTCAGAAGAGAGTCAGATGTGAATCACAGAAATATATGAAGTGCAAGCATTTATCTGAAAAAAATTATATTAATATGGTGGCTGCTAAAAAAGACTCTTAGGATATAGGTTAAAAGGACACTAGCAAGGAGGCTTAAATAATGCTGAGAGTAGAGGCCCGAGCTAAACAGAAATGGTGACAGGGAAATAACATGGCGACGCAAACCTTAAAAGGGTTTCTGATGAAAGAATTTACAGAATTTGCTGAAGAGATATAAAATTAAGAGAAGAAATAGCTATCTTAAATATAGGTGACATCTATTTTATTGAAACGATTAAACATCAACATGCATATTTAAGAAGGTATATAAGGTACATCCCTGATCAAAGGAATGCTCTACTTATCAATATGGTGGTAACACAGTCTCAGAACATCAACCTCAGTGAGTGATTCTCAACCTGGAGTAACGTGTATATCAGAATTGTTGCCCCTGACAGCTGCCCATCAAGATCCTCTGCTCTTCAAAGAGAATCATTGCATGTAATGAGAAATGTTACTGGGAGAGTGTGTTGCATATGTAAATCCCATGGAACAGAACGACTTAAGTGCTATGATTTATACATAATAAGCCTTTTTGCTCCAGTAACTAAATTTTAAAGTATTTTAGTAGCCTAACTGAAAAATTAGAGCAGCACAAATAATCAAAAGCAAAAGTACACAAAACACATGTGGACTTAAACTGAGCTTTGAAGGGTAGGTAAGACAGGGATCTACTGAGCAGTTCTGATACTTTTCCACTGCTATAAATTTATGTTTCATTTGTCTCAAAAGGTGCATAATTTAAGGAATGCAAACTGCCATTCTAACTTAAGGATTATCAGAAATACTTACAAAGCACTCTGCAGCATCATCCATAAGGCCAAGCTGAAATCGCTGCTCATCTTTGAAACTTTCTGCAAGAGCATGCCTTATGTTATCCGAAGGAAGTGCTTTTTCTCGACTGTGTTGAAACTGTGCAAATATCGTCTGGGAATCAACAAATACATCAACCAGTAAGTTTAACACCAACAACTAAAAAACACTTGAGCAATTTCATTTCAACAGCAAAACTCGAAACTCTATACTCAAACTAACAGTCTTTTGCTTTAAAATTCCATTAAAAAATTAATTATTTCTATGAGTAATATGTAGAAATGGTTGCCCAAGTCTCTAAATCAAATGTTAGTGCATAAGAATTAAACATGGAAAGTTCTCAGATCCCATCCTCAGAGATTCTGATTGAGATGAGGCCCATTTTTAAACTGTCTCCTAGCTGACTACGATCTAAGTTATTTAGAAAGAGTTTTGAGATAAGTTGCTTTAAATCTTAAAGTGTGCTGCAGGAATTAAAATTATGTTATACAAAAATAAACATCATATAATCAAATAAAACAGTAGGAACTCACTAGACTTGAAACAGTGGGAACATCATTCAAGAACATTAAATTATAGGTGTTAATCTGGTCTTCTATTTTCTTTATTGAATTTAAGCAAGAAAAACTTTTTAATAAGTTCCAGTTTTATGACAATCATCTTAGGTGAGTGAAAGTAGGGAAAAAATAAAGTTTGCTGTGTGATAAACCACCAAATAAGGATTGATCATATTAAGTTCTATATTAATTAGCTCAAGGGGTATGTCATCTCAAAAAAAAACTGCATTTAAGATGAACATATGGTAGCCTAGGAAATATTTCAAGAATCTGTTCCACTGATACAAGAAAATTTAATTTACAAATAAGAAATTTAAAAAGAAAGATGCCAAGTGATATTAGATATTCAGAACCAAAATTTTTAGCTACAATTACAAATGATAAAAAATGAAAAATATTTTCAAAAGTCATTTCTTATTTAGGTAGTCAACTTTTCCAGGTAATGTTTAAGATATTAATCCTACACATTTAACATCTATTTTTTTGATTGTCTAGTATATGTGAGGCATTGTTCTACACCAGAAAACAAAGACTCTGCCCTCATGGAGCATACATTCTAGTTGTAGTAATGAGGAGAGGGCAAATAAGTAATTATATGCCAGAATGTAATAAGTACAATAGAGAAAAACAAAGAAATACAATACAAGAGAGAAAGATAAAGTAGTGTAATAGGGATAGGCATGCTGGGGGTAGGAGAGAGGAAGGGAGCTTACCTATTACCAAGGGTAGTCAGGGAAGGTCTCACTGATGGAAAAATAACATTTAAGGAGAGGCATAAAGGAAATAAGGGTGTTAGCCACAGGGACATCTGGAAGAAAATCATTCTAGACAAAAAGAATAATAATGAAAACACTCAGAGATGAAAGCCAGCTCTGAGAAACTGCAAGGAGGACAGTGCAGTGTGCGTGTGCGTGTGCGCGCGCGCCTGCGCACAGGTGTTTTGAGGCAGGGGACGCAAGCAGGGGAAAGAGGCAGGTGATGTGTAAGGCTATGGGAAGACCTGAGCTAGAAAATTTAACTAGTTTTTACAACTGGACAAAACATTCAAAATTTACTGCAGAGTAAATAAAATGCAATACTGTAATCTGATCTAAGTTCATTCTTCATCAACCCTATTTTTACTATATAAAAAAGAGAATATAAAATCGCCTCCTGATTGGGATTGACATGTATACACTGATGTGTATAAAATTGATGACTAATAAGAACCTGCTGTATAAAAAAATAAATAAAATTAAATTTAAAAATTAAAAAAAAAAAATAAAATTGCCTCCTTTGGTGACTTATTCAAACAGCCTTTTTAGGAATGTAAGTCAAAATAAAGCATGAAAACCACCTTTTATTTTCCTGTATTATGTATATGTGTGTGTACTAAGAATATTCAAGAATGTAAAAGCCTGAAATATTTATTTCTGAAAACATATTAATCAAATCTTAAATTCTTGGGCAAAAATTTCAACGACATAAATGAGTTACTAATATATACTGGACTCCCTGTTTCTGCCTTTGTCCCTAATCTATATATTCTCATCCAAGCAGCCAAAGAGATCTAGTCCAAATATTATACTTACTTAACACAGGTTATATCACTCCTCCACTCAAAACAATCCCACGACTTCCTAAATCACTCAGGAGAAAAAGTCAAGGTCCTCACAAAGGTCTAGAAGGCCCTACACAATCTGAACTCCTGTTCCAGTTATCTACTGCTGCACAACAAAACCACCCCAAATCTTAGGTACTAAAAATAACATTTATTTTGGCCACAAGTTTGCAGTTTGGGTGAGGACGGCTCAACTCTGCCCCACTTGCAGTCATCTGTAATAGTCTGAATGCTGGAACTTGGGAGTCATCTGAAGGTCGCTCACTAGTGTCTAGAGGTTGATGCTGGTTGTTGGTGCTGCCTGTTGGCCAGGAACTTGGCCGTAGCTATGACCAACTTGGCTTCCTCATAGCATGGCAACTCACTTCCAAGAATGAGCACCCCAACAGACAGAGCCAGGTGGAAGCTTTATCACTTTTTCTAATCTACCCTAATCTCATTTCTGCCACATTCTATATGATGGAAATGAAACATTAGGGGCAACCCATATTCAAGGAATTAGACTCCACCTTTCAATAGAAGAGTGCAAAAGAATCTGCAGACATTTTTGAAGTCACCACAACTCACCTTACCTCTGAGCTCATCTCCTATCACTGTCCCCCTTGCTCACAAAGCTTCTGCCACCAGTCAGGTTTCCTTTAATATGTCACGCACACTCCCACCTCAGGGCCTTTGCAGTTGCTGTGTCCCTGCTTGCCTGGAAGGCTCTAGTCCACTCCATCACCTTTTCCAAGTTGTGATTTAAATGTCATTCTCTCAGTGAGGCTTTCCTTGCTACTTAACACTCTCTAGTACCTATCCCTGATTTATATTTCCTCCTTTGCAATTATTATTACCTAACATACTTTATATTTTGTTTATTTATTTTCTTCTCCCTTACAAGAATATAAGCTACATGAGAACAGGGATTTTTATTAGTTCCGTTCACTGCAGTATCCTTAGTAACTACAGCAGTGCCCAGAATTCAGTAGTAACTCAAAAAACATCTGTTAAATGATTATTTCAAAATAATGAAAAATATAATGTTCCTAACACAGAAAAATGGATCCGTAAACCTGAATAAGTCATACTTTAAGAATTTCTCTTCAAAACTGTAAGTCACTTGACAATAACTTTAATTACAAATAAACTAACCAAATTTGTCAAACAAACCAAACTATCAAATAAAATTAAATCTTTTGAGAAACAATAGTAATTTTTCGGAACTATTAAAAGGTTACCTTCAATGCACAAAATATGCAGGCATCTCCCTGACAAACATGTCCATCCAGAACCCGCAAGCTTCTTCGGAATATATCTAATTGCCATAAAACCTAAAAAATAGTGAGATGTAAAGAAAGAAAGAAACACAGTAATATTTTTCTCACTGGGATGAAAGACAGATTTAAATATGTTTTAAACTGTGGGAGGCTGATAGCTTCTTTTAGTCTCTTGCACATAATCAGATATATACTACTAAAAATAATAAGTATAAAAGTGCTATATACATGTAGTTCATATATAAAAGATGGATTTAGAAAATATTACTATGGATTCACATGTAAAAACCATGACAGAACAAGAAAAAAATAACTCCTCAGTTAAGGAATTTATATGAACAGGAAACAAGGGATACTGAATGCAGGACTTGGCAGAGACTTGAGAGAGGAAGTGATTATAATACTTGGAATGAACTGAAATTTAGGAAGGAAATATAATTGCAGTTAAAAGTCAGGGTGTACCAAATAAGGGTCAGTATGTAGTGGCAAGAAAAAAGGGCAGAGGCCTGTGTGGTCATTGTATATTGAGTGAAGAAGGGGGCATCTGTGTAGTCATGGGGGTACAGCATAATATGAAGCAGCAGTTAAAAAATAACCTGAATATATTTGCTGCAATTATCCAATCATCATTTACTACTAAAAAAAAAAAACAAAATTAAAAAGACTGTAGTTGTTTAAATAAATCAGCCTAATACTTAAAATCATTCTAGAAAAATCTGAAATTTATACAATGGGGATAACTGTGTCAGCCTCATAGACTGCTTGTAAGGATTAAATATATGTATGTAATATGTGAAGTGTTTAGAACAGTGCCCAGTACACAAGTGGCATGCATTGAATGCAACCTGCTATTTGTTGCTGTAAATACTATTACAACAAACAATTAAGATATTTCCTCAAATAATAAAACCAAGAAAATCCGTTCACCATCTCACATTTCTCCCAACCAAAAAAAAAAAGTTAATAAAAACAAATAATTTTAAAAGTTTCCTATTTTTTAATAACTCAGTAACTGAAAGCCATTTCAGAATTTTCTCTGATAGTTGCTTTTTCTTAAAGCATAACTAATAGGATTCATTTAGTTATCACAAATAACTCAGTGTTTTGCAGAGCACTTGAAAATGTTTAATAACTTTCTTGCATATCATATTCTATCATACCATAAAATATACATTAAAATTCATTCATTTGTCAAGATGAAGGTCACGACAGCACAGCTGTGAGAAGTGCACAGCACTGTAGTTAGTGATACACCCTCTGAAGACAGGCTGCCTGGGTTCTAATTCCGGCTTTACTGTTTACAGCTCTTGGGCTGACTTGAGCAAAATATTTCCTGAAACTTAGTTTTCTCATCACTGAAAGGAAGATAAAAGTAGTACCTATCTCTTAGGATCACTGTAAGAACTAGATTAGATAAAACACAGTGTACCAATGCACAGTAAGAGCACAATAAATGTTAGCTATTAAATATTTTAACTTTGCTTTTAACTTACAGAACTCAAAACCACACCAATTATGTCATACCTACTTAACTGTACCACTTTCTCATCAAATAAAAGTTCAAACTATTCAGCCAAAAGAGAAAACTCTATAATCTGCTTATAAGGCTTACGAATTACGTCTTTCAAATGTAATGTTTTCTAGGGTTAGCAAAATGTTTAACTTACACTGGATCTAAACTACAGAAAAAAATATTTTATGTGACTTCTCTGTATACTACTCAATATAAAAGTTTAAAAATGATTTTCACAAATCCATACCAAAAATTATCTGCATTATAGTTAACCTTTATCCTATTTCATTTAAAAATGTTGATTATATTCTACCACCTGTTTTAAATTAAAGCCTAAGCTAGTTGTTGGACTAATTAGTTTTTAGCAATATAATTTTATAATATAAACATTTTTCTTTTGCATTATTTCCATGTTTCATTTTAACATGGTACCTAACAAAATTAGTGTAGTTATTTTGAATGTTTATGCATGTTTCTTATTTAGTTATTCCCCAAAGATTAATACATATATGCATATGCATTTAATAAAGGAATATAAACCTTTCATCATATTCCTGACCTCAAAATAATATAAAAAATTTTTAAAAATTAAGGGGAAATGGCATATAAATTCATTTTTCTTACTTATATTACATCCAAAACATTTTAATAATGTCCATTTTTAGTAATTTCTTACAAAACGTATTTCACAATTTATTTCTCAGCAGTTTAAAAAGTACTCATCAAACTGCGTATTAGCATTTATATTCTGAATTTTTAAAAATGAAGTCAGGCTTTTTCTGACAGAAGTCTACTTGAATAGCTGTTTTGTCACTGAGGACTGGCTTTCTAAATTAGTTTATACACTAGACATTTTAACATCAGGGGCCAGCAGATTCCCTGGGTTGAAGGGATGGAGCTGGGAGTTCAGGGAAGCCAAAGCAGCTAGAGTTGGCGGGACACAGTGCCGCAGTGGGGAGAGCTGCACACAGTTAACACCAGAGCTCGCGAGGGGGCCTCTCAAGTATTCAGGTAAGCACTGTGAGGAAACTACCTGAGACCAGGAAAGAAAATCCCAAAAGATTAGATGTAATGCCCAAAGCACATATCAGTTCAGGGCAGTGCCTGTTCTCAACAGCCAAAGTGGAAAACATCATAATTCACAGAGCATCAGTTAAAGAAAGAACTGTCCCTCCCCACTAGCAGAGAAATTAACCCCAGAATAAACACAGTTCTGGTACTGCCTACAAAGCTTAAACATAAAATGATCAAACTGTTTCTAAATAAACTAATCCTATCCCAGAACAATGTTCAAGAATATTTTTAGGAATATAAAAATACCCATCACCCAACAAAGTAAAACTTAAAATGTCGTCTGACATCCAATCAAAAATTACCAGACCTGGGCTTCCCTGGTGGCACCATGGTTAAGAATCTGTCTGCCAACACAGGGGACATGGGTTTGAGCCCGGTCCAGGAAGATCCCACATGCCACGGAGCAACTAAGCCCGTGCACCACAACTACTGAGCCTGCACTCTAGAGCCCATAAGGCACAACTGATGCCCACATGGCACAACTACTGAAGCCCGCGCGCCTAGAGCCTGGCTCCACAACGAGAAGCCACCAGAATGAGAAGCCTGTGCATCGCAATGAAGAGTAGCCACCGCTCACCTCAACTAGAGAAAGCCCACATGCAGCGACTAAGACCCAATGAAGCCAAAAATAAATAAATTAATAAATTAATTTTAAAAAATTACCAGGCATTACAAGAAACAAGAAAATATATTCCAAACCTAGAAAGAAAAAAAAAAGAACAGAATTTGCACAGACAGAATTAGTAGACAAGTACATTAAAACAATTATTATACCTGTATTCATATATTCAAGAGGTTAGAGAAAAGACTGGACATGTTAAGTATAGACACAAGTGATTTTTGAAAGACCCAGAGCAAACTTCTAAAGGTGAAAATTACAATGTCTGAGATTTAAAAATACACTGGTGATATTACTAGCAGATTAAATAAACACTGCAAAAGAAAAAAATTAATGAACTTGAAGACACAGCAATAGAATCCTATAAAATGAAAGAGAGAAAAACAAAAGAATGAGAAAGACAATGAAGAGCACATCAGTGAACTCTGGGACCTAAAGCAACCAACTGAATATGTATCAATAACTGGAATCCCCCAAAGAAGGGGAGGGATAGAAAATTTTGAAGAAATAATGGTCAAAGAGTTTCCACATTTTTTTAAAATTTACTTTTATTTTATTTATTTTATTTTGGCTGTGTTGAGTCTTCACTGCTGCGTGCGGGCTTTCCCCAGTTGCGGCAAGTGGGGGCCACTCTTTGTTGCAGTGCGCGGGCTTCAGTACTTGTGGCACACAGGCTCCACAGTTGTGGCTCATGGGCTCTAGAGCGCAGGCTCAGTAGTTGTGCTGCATGGGCCTAGTTGCTCTGCGGCATGTGGGATCTTTCCAGACCAGGTCTCGAACCCGTGTCCCCTGCATTAGCAGGTGGATTCTTAACCACTGCGTCACCAGTGAAGCCCATCCACATTTGATTAAAATTATAAAGCCATGGGTCTAAGATGCTCAATGAACCCAAACACAAGAAGCATGTAGAAAACTATAGCAAGGCACATCATAATCAAATTGCTTTAAAGCAGTTAAAAAAAGAAAATCTTAAAAGCAGCCATAAAAAAAGGGGAACATTACAAACACAAGAACAAAGATAAGAATGACAATAGTTTTCCAGGAGAAGTAATACAAGCCAGAAGACAGATGAGCAAAATCTTTAAAATACTAAAAGAAAAACTGTCAACTTAAACTTCTTTAATGAATGAAAATATTTTTCAATAACAAAAGTCATCCTTCAAGCAGAAGAAATGATACCAGATGGAAAGCTGGATCCACACAAAGGAGTGATGAGCACCATAACTGGTAGCTATGTAATAAGTAGAAATAACCTTCATGGCAAAGGTCAGTGGACTGTTCATTTTTTTTCTAAACATATCAACATAGGAATACTTCTCCATTTTCTTTACCACGTAAGTGTCCTTGCTCAGAGTTTTCTTTTGTTATAATAAGCTTTTCATCTCCCTAAAGTATACACGGTATTTTGGAAGCCAAAAAAAGGGACAGACACAGAGGGAAATACATAAATGTAAAAAAAAGAACTGGAAAAGGGTTAACAGGAAAAGACTTGAAATGACAGAAGCTCTTTCTCAGAGCCTGATTCAATAAAAGCATATAATTCCATGTCTTTTGGAGTCTGGTATTTCTCTATATCAGGTGTCATTCAATAAATATTTTCCTGCCCTTGTCACAGCACTTAATGCCAAAGGGATCCTTCAGCCAGGGCAGAACAGTGACTGTCATTTAAAGGTCCCAACATAAACTAGAATTAATGCTTTTCTAATACCAATTGCTTCTGTTTCCCTGAGTGAGTTATAAAACTTTCAAGTTTGACATATGTCCTGGACAGCAGACAATTAAGAACACAAGTCTGAGTCAGATGTCTGAGCACTTGACACATTCTAGATGTGTTCATTTATCAAATGAGTTAATTAAGCAATATTTCTCTTTCTACTCTCAGTTTTCAGGAGGAAAAAAAAAGCAATAGAAAGAAAACACGTGAAAAGCTATTTATTTTCAATAAAATCTTTTAAGGTATAGTCTAGCATCAATAGAGTAACATTCCAATATTCTAAATCTTCCTCATCCTTAGTACTATACAATCAACGGTCAGAAGGATATAGGCCCCTAAAAAATCTGAAAATGTTAAATAAAAACTATCATACATAAGAAAAGATATTTATGTAAGGCAGAAAGTTGGATTAATACATATTTACTAATTAAAAGAATTTCAACAAGGACTGAAGCAAAATGAATTAACCGTTAATTTAACTACAACAGTGGTGTCCAAATTATGATTCTACAGAGGGGATTTAAGGTCACGGTGCGGTGCGGGGGTGGGGGGGAGGAATTTGAGTACTGAGATTAAAAACTGCATTCTTGGGCTTCCCTGGTGGCACCGTGGTTAAGAGTATGCCTGCCGACGCAGGGGACGCGGGTTCGTGCCCCGGTTCGGGAAGATCCCACATGCCGCAGAGCAGCTGGGCCCGTGAGCCATGGCCACTGAGCCTGCACGTCCGGAGCCTGTGCTCCGCAACGGGAGAGGCCACAACAGTGAGAGGCCCACGTACCGCAAAAACAAAACAAAACAAAAAACTCTGCGCTCTCATTTCAATCCACACAGCTTGTTTCTTTTTATGCTGTCTATGGGGATCCTACTGCATTTCTTAAACAAAAAAAAAAGGGGGGAGAGAGGGGTTGACTAGCTAATTCAAAAAAATAATTTTATGTATTTTAGAAACATTCTTAATTTACTAAGTAAACATTTTAAGCCACAAGATATTTTTATATCCTAGCAATGTATCATTCTGTTGAAAACAACATTTCCATTTATTATAAAAACCAAAATGCCCAGTCAAAATATTTTGCTACTATTAAAAGTGATATTAAAAAGTCATTCTAGTCAATAATAACTTTATTCTTAATTTACAAGTTAAAGAAGGATTAAGCAAAGAATTTCCTGAAAGGCACTTTTTAAAATTTAACAAGAAAAAAAAAATTTAACAAGAAATTATGGTCTCACCTGTACAGCACTATTAAGAAAGCAGCTGTTTTGTCCTGGTTCATTCAATAAGCCTTTGGTAGGGGCTAGGGATAGCATACTCCCAGGTTGATAAGCTTTTCCAAGATTGCCACCAGGTTTCCGTAAGAATTTTACCCATGCCATTTTCAAGCAACTTTGTTTGCATTAAAGCTAAGAATTATATACTTATGTGACACTTCTGATGATAAAATGGATGGTTTCTTGAATGATCCACTTAAATTCGCTGCAGCCTATTACCATAACATAAGTTTCCAAGTCCATATCTTTCCTGATGCTGTAGTTTTGAGGACTTTGTCAAGTAAAAAAAGGGTACATTAAGGATTGAAGTTCTGAAAACTAAAAAAGAAAGCTATTTTAAACAAGGTCTTAAAGATTTAAAAATCTTTGTGTTAAATTTTATAAGAGTACAGTTTAAGGTGAAAAAGATTTTTTAAAAACTGCTAAAGTAACATTGATGAACAAATCATATTCTTTAAAGCACAAATCATTTGTCTTGATGGTTTTAAAAACAGATGATACAAAAAGATGTAGAGTTAGCATTTGGTATGATTCATTTGGTCATTTGTTTTCCTTGTGTTTCTTTAATAAGAAAGAAGTCTTTCTCTTTCCCAGATGAAGTTATTAAAGGTGACTTCATATTTCATATCAATGTGACCTCAAAGCAAACCTATAAGAAAAAAAAGAAATGTTTAAATAAAAGTAAAGGCTAATAAAGAAAATTCCTACTTTACTATATGGATACAAATATTGAATACATAATTAAAATATTATATATATAATCATAAAATGATTAGAACTAATAATGTTCTTAAAATATGAAAATGAAAACAGTTCATCATTTAAATTTTCAAAACATATCAAGGTGACATCAATCGCTACCTACTTCAAGATTTCAATGGTCATATGATGGTTTCATGTTCTAAAGAAAACTAGAATCAACTTAGATCTCAGGCAGTGTTTTGAATAATACTAACTTTGCTACCAATACTGTATTGCTGTTTACTAAACAGAGACTCTACAGAGACTCTATATTGTTATCTATGTTACAGAGAATCATATCATTTCTGCAAGAAAGTCAATAGATTTTATGTAAATTGACATGCGTTAAAACTCAGAAGAGGGCTTCCCTGGTGGCGCAGTGGTTGAGAGTCCGCCTGCCGATGCAGGGGACATGGGTTCGTGCCCCGGTCCGGGAGGATCCCACATGCCGCGGAGCAGGTGGGCCCGTGAGCCATGGCCGCTGAGCCTGTGCGTCTGGAGTCTGCGCTCCGCAACGGGAGAGGCCACAACAGTGAGAGGCCCGCGTACCACGAAAAAAAAAAAAAACTCAGGAGAAACATTAAATTGATAAACAAATCTTAGTGAATTAGAGTAAATTTCCATACTATTCATGAACACATACTCCTGGCTAAAAGGACTTCAAAATGTTCAACTTCTAAAGTAAAAACAATCAAGTATTACTACCAAAGTTTAGTTTAATCAATTGAATTTCCTTCCTGCATTCATTCTTTCAACAAGTGTTTACTGAGCCATGTACTATGCCAGGCACTAGAACTGGCATTTTAATGAGGAAAGACAGACCATAATTCAGTGAATAATAAATTGTAGAGTGTACTAGAAGAGTTATGCTCTGAGTGCTCATGGAAAAACAATTCAAGCAAAGGGGATCAGAAGTGTATATAATGGTAGATGGTTTGCACTTTTAAATAGGATAGTCTCGGAAACTGTAATTGAGAACGTTACCTTTGTACAAAGATTTGAAGGAGGTGAAGATGCCACTCTGGAGAAGGCACTTCTAGCAGAGTGAACAGCATGCGTGGCATACTGGAAGGTAGTAAGAAGCCCAGTGTGGCAGAATAAATATGAACAAAGAGGAGAATAGATGAAAAGGGTGGATGGGAAAGAGAGAGAGATCATGAAGGGCCTCAAAAGCCCTGTGTAAGGACTTTGGCTTTAAATTTAAACTCTAGATGAAAGCCATTGAGTTTCACTTCACAGCACAAAAACATGAGAGGACAGAACATTATAGGTCAGTTCAATTCCATTGATCAAATACCCACTAAGATAGCAAAGCACTGAGGAATAAAGAAGAAAGGCATTAGTCTTTACAGAATTCAAGTCAGGAGACTTTTGTTTGCAGCCCCACGTATTAGCTCATCACTTATTAGCTGTTTGGTCTTAGATAAGTTCTTGTCATCTCTGATTCATAGCTTCATCTATAAGATGGTGACAAGAATAACAGCCCTGTTTAACATAGGTTAAATGTTTCAAGAATTATAAAACACTACATTATGTTAGTTTTTTTCTTTTTGTTGTAACTCTGTGGATTATAACTTCCTCTAAAGTGATCTAAATAATCCTAAAAACTTTCATACAAATTTTTAATAAATGTAGTTACGATTTTACAACATTAAGAAAGCTCTGTATCGGTAGTTAACTTGTGTTTTTAATGGAAGAATCCTTTGAAATGGTATTCTTTCAACAATCATTTAACTAGGCACCAGGTCTTACCCTGAACTGTGATAAGATACATGAAACAATCCCTACCGTAATGAGTTGTTTTGTGATGGGCACACACACAAATAGATAATTTTAAAATACTGTAGTTTCTGTTCCTGTGCAAGATGTCAAACTATATGTCCTCCTGGTTCCCTTCCTCCAACCCAACTCCGGAGATTATACAAAAGCAACAGATAGTATAAGGAGAAACAGGGAGAAACATTAAGTAACTGGCTGCCAGAATGTGAGGGAAACAGCAAGAGATAAAGAGGGCCAAGTGTTACAGACTGGGAAAGTCTTCTTAGTTGTGACCTTTTCCATTCTTCATATTGCTCTGGGCAGAGAATTCCCACCCCACACAATGCAATGAAACAGGAAAGCTCTGTTACCACCCCAGGGCCATCTGGAGGGTAAAGGAAATTATAACATCAGGTAAGCATGGGAGGAAGATGCAAAAGGGAGGAGATATGGGGATATATGTATATGTATAGCTGATTCACTTTGTTATACAGCAGAAACAAACACACCATTGTAAAGCAATTATACTCCAATAAAAATGTTAAAAAAAAAATCAGGTAAGCATCAGAGAACAGTTGGTTTGGGAAGTGGTAACAAGTACACACACCTGCAAGGCCCCTGCGTGTTCTATCCTCGCCCTACTCCACAAATAGAACAGAGGATGGTAGGACCTGGAGAAGATCATGCCTCTAACCGAGTAAACAGGAAGTTCTTTTTGGAATCAACTCTTAAGCCATATCACCCCAAATCAAGCCTTTATGTCCCCACCTCTGCTCTCTGAAATTATCCAAAGAAACACAAATCAGAGCCTAATGCTTTCATTCTTCTCATCATGTAAATATTACTAGCTTATCACTTGGTACTCCCAGGAAAAAAGATAACCAGATACTTGCAGAGTATGAGCATTATGAGAGAAAGGCAACAAACTGAACAATCTACACCACAGGAAACAGAATGAACAGACCAAAGGGAACACAAATTTAAAATAAACTTAATACGTATCCACCAATTGAATGAGTACATTTTTGAAACTGCTGAAAGAAAAAACTCAAAGGATGAGTTAACTAGCAAAATGAATAGAAGGAAACATCATACTAATGAGCAGTAAGTCCAGGTCCAGAAATTCTCCTAAAAGTATTAAAAAAAACAGAGTGGAAAATATAAACATTTTCAAAAAGCTAAGATACACAGATGAAATCTAAAAGTGTCAAAAACTATCTAAAAGGATCCCCAGAAAGAAAGGGGAGAAAGTAGACACTTTTAGAAAGATTAAGATTTTTCCAGAATTAAAGGCTGAAAAACCCAGAAAGAAAAACAATAGGTAACACAAAAATCCAAACATGATGTGAGGAAGAAAGGAAGTAGGATGAAAATTGTGAAACCTTGAGAGAGAGAGAGAGAGAGAGAGAAAGAGACTGATTTTTCAAGCCCATTAATAGGCAAACAACAGAAAGAAAAAATAAATCTAAAACTAAACTTTTGAAAAGCTAATAAAAAAAATCTTCACAAGCATGATTAAAGAAAAAAGAAAAGAGAAATATAACATGAATAGGATTTTTTTTTTTTTTTTTTTGTGGCATGCAGGCCTCTCACTGTTGTGGCCTCTTCCATTGCAGGGCACAGGCTCCGGACGCACAGGCCCAGTCGCCATGGCTCACGGGCCTAGCCGCTCCATGGCATGTGGGATCTTCCCGGACCGGGGCACAAACCCGTGTCCCCTGCATTGGCAGGCAGACTCTCAACCACTGTGCCACCAGGGAAGCCCCGATGAATAGGATTGATAAAGGAGAAATGACCACATATAGATGAGCAACCAAAAGAAATACAAAAGAATACCACTTAAATCTTATGACAATAACTTTGAATATCTAAAGGAGCAGGTAATTTCATAGCAAAATTCAAATTACCAAAATTAACTCAAGTGAAGTAGAAAAATTTTTTAAAGACTACAAGAAAATGGAAAGGAGACAAAAGTTCTTCCATTGAAAATGCCATCTGGATCAGATGCATTCAAAGTTAAATTTTACCTAAACTTTAAAGAACTGTTAATTCTAATGTTAAAATACCACAGGCCACATGAAAATAAAATACAAAGAACCCCAAATCATGTCATGAAGCTAACATAACCTTAATATCAAACCATGATAAATCTCACACCACAGTGACATGTGATTAAAGATGTAAAACTTATAAATAAAACACTAACAAACATAATCTATCACTATCAAAAGAATAATGTACCATTGAAAAAAATAATAAGGTTTATTCTAGGAATTTAAACGTGATTCTATATTTATTCTTTCAATAAATATTTGGGAAGCTGTGCAGAAAAGAACTAACACAGCAATATTTATAACAGCTGAAAGGTGGAAAAACAACCCAAATGTTCAACTAAAGAATGAATAAAATACAGTGTGTGTGTGTATACACACACACAATGGAATATTATTCAGCCATAAAAAGAAACAAAGTACTTAAACATGCTACAACACAAACACTGAAAACATTTTGATAATTGAAAGTCAGTCACAAAAGACCACACACTGTAAGATTCCATTCATACAAAATGTCCAAAAGAGAGAAATGTAGAGACAGATAGTAGATAAGTGGTTGCTTAGACTGGAAAAGTGGGGGTTATGGAGAACGAGTGGGTACGGGCACAGAAAGTGATAGCTAAAGGGTACTCAGATTCCTTTTTTTTCCTTCCAGTTTTATTGAGATACAACTGTCACATGCACTGTGTAAGTTTAACGTGTACAGCATAAAGATTTGACTTACATACATTATGAAATGATTATCACAATAAGTTTAGTGAACATCCATCATCAAATATAGATACACAATTAAAGAAGTAGGAAAAAATATTTTCCTTATGATGAGAACTCTTAGGATTTACTCTAACAACTTTCATATATAACAAGCAGCAGCGTTAATTCTATTTATCATGTTGTGCATTACATCGCTAGTTCTTATAACTTATATCTTATAACTAGGAGTTTGTACCTTTTGACAACCTTCATCCAGTTTCCCCACTCCACCCACCCCCTACCTCTGGTAACCAATCTGCTCTTTGCCTATTGAGTTTATGTTTGCTCATTTTTGAAGTATAACTGACCTACAACATTATGTTAGTGCCTGTTACACAACAAA